TGATAGATCTTTTCCCATCTCTTAACCTTTTGGCTGTCTGTGTCTTTACAGATTTACAGTTTGGACAGCATATAGTTAAATCTCGCTTTATTATCCAGTCTGACAGTCTTTGCCATTTAATGTATGGACTGTTTATACTTGATATATTGGATTTGTGTATCGGCACTGGCTTTCTGCTTTTATTGACTCTACTCTACTCTGGTTTTCCTCTTTGTTGCTTTTTTATGTGAATGGAGTAATTTTTATTTCACTTTCTACACTATTGACTTACTAACTCCAGCATTTTGCTGTATTTTCCTAATGGCTTTGGCCGCTTCATACTTGCGTATGTGTATCTGTAGGAGTGATTTCTAGAAGCAGAATTGTAAGTCAAGGGATGAATACATTTTTAATTTTGATGGCGTTTTCCAAAGGCTCCTTTATGGAGATTGTAATATTCTGCATTCTGTCTTCCAAGATGTGAGGATAGTTTTTTTCCCTGCAGTGAGACCAGGAAAGATCTGGTTGAACTTCTATATTTCTGTCAGGAAACTGATGAGAAATGATACATCAGTGCCGTTTTATTTGCTTTTTTCTTATTATGGGGATGTTGAACCTATTTCTGTATCTCCATGTACAGCTTCTACTTATTTTCCTAGGAAATATTTATTCATGTCCTTTGTCCATTTTTTCTCTTGATTCACAATTTTTCTTCTTGATTTCCAGAGACTCTTTACATATTAAGGAGGTAAACCTTTTGTCATATAAGTTGTAAATTTTGTTGCCTGAGTTTGACACTTATTTTTTGACTTTATTTTTTAACTTCCATCTTGAAGTGATTATAGATCTAAAGAGTTGTAAAACAGTTCATTGAGTTCAGTTTCCTCAAATAGTGACATCTTCTGTAACTCTAGTATGATATAAAAACCAGGAAGTTGACATGGGTACCATACTGTTAAGTAGACTATAGGTCTTATTCTGTTTTCATCAGTTTTACATCCACTCATTTGTGTGTGTGTGTGTGTGTGTGTGTGTGTGTGTGTGTATTGCTATACAATTTGATCTCTCGTATAGGTTCATGTAACCACCATCACAATCAATATCTTGTATTGGTTTGATCAATGCACAGAAAATCCCCATGTTCTTTCTGTATCGCCATGCTCACCCCCATCCTCATCTTGTCCCCAGCAAGTTGTAGCGTGTTCTGTGCCTCCCTACTCTTCTCCTTAGAGATATAATTACATATAAATTATATTACGTATCATTATACATAATTTAGATACATTTATATAAGGTTACATAAGTTGAATTATATAGATTATAACTTCAGGAGATTGGTTTATCGTTTTCTGCAGATCATAATGCTCTTAAGGTCTGTTGTCTTATTGGGTGTGTCAACTATTTATTCTTTTGTTTGTTTGTTTGTTTCCAAAGATTTCATTTATTTGAGAGATAGAGAGAGAGATCACGAGCCAGGGGAAGGTCAGAGGGAGAAGCAGGCTCCCCGCTGAGCAGAGATCCCTATGCGGAGCTCGATCCCAGGACCCTGAGTTCATGACCTGAGCCGAAGGCAGAGGCTTAACCCACTGAGCCACCCAGGTGCCCTTGGCTCTGATGTCTTAAGAAATCATTCTAATTCTGTAGGAACTGGTCTTGTCCTAACTAACAGGGGAAAATAGCAGAGATGGTGATAGAAAAATGTATTGTTTCATCTTGCTTGCTTGTCCCTGCAGCTCTTAGGCTAAAACTGAGCCTATCCCGGGGCCAGGGCTGTTGGCTTTGCCCGTCGTGCTTGTGTACAGACAGCTGGGTGCTGGACTCTGGGCTGAGGTCTTACACACTGTCCCTCTGCTGACCCTCCACCAGCCCTGTTAGGTATGTAATATTAGGGTCCTATTTCAAAGAGGATTTTCTGGGGCTCCTGCATGGCTCAGTTGGTCGAGCATCCCACTTTTGACCTCAGCTCAGGTCTTGATCTCAGGGTTGTGAGTTCGAGCCCCATGTTCCACACTGGACATGGACCCTACTATGTAATTCAGAAGACTTTTCAAGGGACACACCATTTGAGAAACACTCTGACCCCATGGGAACCTTCAGTTGGGAACCTGAGGGGTGGACCTGAGCGATTTTCCTGCTTCTGAGATCCTCAGACCATTTTCTGGGAACGTGTGAGTGTTGCTAGAGCCGACCCTTGGTTCCTGGTCCTCTGAAAGGATGGTTTCACTAGTGGTCTGAGGGCGGAGAAGGAAGTTCCGTCACCTGGCAAGTGACTTCTCCTTTTCTTCCTGATTCTTTTGCAAGTGGCCTTTTTACGTGTCCTGATCCCACCACCCCCTACAGCGTTCTATACCTTGCGAGGTATTCCTTGGTAACAGACCAAAGACACATCTGGACTCAGGAACGTGGAAATTGCTGTCCACCCCAATCCTATTACAGTTCTGGGATTTCCCTGGGGCACCACGAGCACACACACATCAATATTTTATCTGGGATTTTCTTTGTATTTTTTTCTGCTGTAAACATTTCTCATGTTAGTAATAGTTCCTAATCTGGTTTTCCAGACAACCGAGGTAGTTTTGAAATAACAATTAGAAAAAAAAGTACGGGATGCCTGGCCAGCCCAGTCGGTGGAGCGTGTGACTCTTGACCTTGGGGTTGTGCGTTTGAGCCCCATGTTGGGTGCAGAGATTACTCAAAAATAAAATCTTAGGGGTGCCTGGGTGGCTCAGTGGGTTAAGCCTCTGTCTTTGGCTCAGGACATGATCTCAGGGTCCTGGGATCAAGTGCCACATTGGGCTCTCTGCTCAGCAAGGAGTCTGTTTCTCCCTCTTCCTCTGCCCCTCCCCCTGCTTGTGCTCCCTTGCTTTCTCCAATAAATAAATAAAATCTTTTTAAAAATCTTAAAAAAAAAGAAAGAAAAGAAAAAAAACCCACACAACCAGTTAATCACAGGGAAATTTGTCTTGAATTACAGTATTTTCTATCGTGTGCTAATTCTCTGGGTTCCCAGGAGAGCTTCCTTTTAATCCTTTATTCAGAAATGATAAGTGCTTTCTTGGGCTTTTGGAATTCTGACCCACTGGAGGTGAAGGACGCCCTTTAACAGGTGAGGTTCCTGTGGGGTGTCAGTGACAGGTTACGGCGAGTGTGTGGCTGGGCGGGTCTGGTCCTGGCTCAGCTGTGTCACTGTGCTCACTTTCAGCAAACCCACTTTGACTCTCTGGGCCTCATTTCTTTGTGTCTAAGTGGGCTCTGACCTGAAAGACCTTGAATTGATTTTATCCACCGGTCAGTGTTGGTTGGATCTGTTCTGACCTCATTAAGGTTACATGACCGTGGCCAGGGTCATGCAAGCCCGGTCATTATCTAATGAGCTCTGCCACTTCCTAGTCAGGAAAATGTCCCCCAGTTTTAATTTTTCTTTGTCTTGGACATGCTGCCTGTGATTGGACACCTGGTCACAATACACTCCTAGCAGTTTGTGCAATGATTTCTTATTTTAAATCTGCTGTGTCTTATTGATTAAAAATAAGTTCCCACTAAATTGGAGACTCTCTGTAGACCAGATGGCCAGTGCAGATTCCAAAGGCGGTGAGAAGAATTCTCTCTTATTTACTAGTTGAGAAAACCCTCCTTCCTGCCGTAGGTGAGATACGTAAGGTTAAGAAGAGGATAGGATAGCAATTTGCCCTTATTTTCCAAGAAGAACTGCATGGTGTGCATTTTCCCAGCACGACGTTAGTCCATGCACACGTGTCTGGAACTTCTGGGGGCCTCCACTCTGACCATCCCCGCGGGACTCGCCTTCCAGGGCCCCACTGTTGAAGTCAAGGGGACACTCCTTCAAAGCACGTGTGGATATGTGTGTGACTGTTCTGAGATGCGTCCTGGCATTTTCCGCTGAGGTCACTGCTCTGACGGATGGTATTGCTTATGTATTTTACGTCTGTTGTCTGCAAGCGGTGAGATTACTCAAAGTGAAAATAAACCCAGAGGCAACTAAAAACACCCAAGGGCTTATTTCTCCTAAATGTGACAAAGGGAAGGGATACTGTGTTTAAAACCTCAGGAGAGAAGACTGTGAACATCCTAATTGAAAATGGGACAGAGGCTTAAATATCCAGCTCCCTGCAGACTTCCTCCTCACGGCAGACCATTACCCCCTCCCCCAACACTGCCCCCTGGGGAAAGGGCTCTCTGGCCTCTGTCCTGGTGTCCACAGGGCCTCAGAGCCACCCCATGTCCCTGCACAGGTGTCTTGCTGTCCTGGGTGGAGACCCCCTTCCCACCGCTACCCTAGATGTCTTGCATTATTCCCTCTCCCCAAAGCCCCCGTCTTCACACCTGAGATTTGTCCTTTCAGGTGCGCAAGATGTGCCGACATGGAAATCACCCCCTGGCGAGCCCTTTGCTGTCTCTAGGAATTTGGTCACCCTTGGAGGGAGTTGGCAGCAGTCAGCAAGGCCCGGGGGTCAAAGCCTCAGAGATACAGAGAATAAAAGGGGTGTGACATCACACTCCCCAGGGGGTTCTTTCGAGATCCTCTCAGTCCCCTTCCAGGGGGATGTGCGTTTCCACCTCTCTATCTCCAAAGCCTGGTTGTCCCCTTCCACCCCATGCTCCTGAACCCCGCCTACACCCCATAGCCAGAGGGCTCTTCTGGAATTGAAAGGAGACCCTGTCGTCCCCGGCAATGCCCGTCCCAGGATGTGCTGTGTGGCAATTGCCAAGTAAACCAGATGGGGAACCGCTAATACACAGACACAGGGTTGAACATCACGGACGATGGACTGAGGACAGCTGTCTCAATCTCCTGCTCCTGGAGATTTTTGTAAAATGATCATTTCCCTTCGGGACGAAGGTTGCGGAGAGAGGGCTCTGCAGGGTAGGTGATGGAGGCCTAAACACGTGCCAGGCTGGTCGAGAGCACGTTCGCGCTGGGTCTCGAGAACCTGAGAAACGCCCAAGAAGTGGGACCGTGTGTGAAGCGATCTTGTGATATTCATTCCACTTATTTAAAGTTTGTCTAGGTTCCAGGCTGCGGATGGCCGTCGCGAGAAAGTCAACGACCTGGCCTTCCTGGAAGAGATACAGGACCTTGCCGAGGAAATTTGTGAAATCCTGGACAAGGCAAAAATCCTACAGGAACTGTGGGCAGGAAGATCCAAGGCTCCAGGCAAGTCAGTCTCTACCCGGACACTGGCTCACGGAGGCCGAGCACCCAGGAGGTCCTTCACGTCCTGTTTACGCCTGAGTTTGCCTCATGACATCAGGTTGTGGGGTTGTGGGAAAGAGGTCGCTTTCCGTGCGGGGGGCCCGGCACCCGGGGCTCGTTGAGAGGCTACGTGTCTACCACTTCCTGCCCGGGAAGGCGCCCTGAGCAGGTGCAGCCTTTGGAGGGGTTACAAGCCGTCCTTGCCGTCTCCCTGCATGTCCCCTGCACACAAGCACGTGCGCACGTTCTCCCGATTCGTCCCCCTCCCTTGGGCTGAGCTGGATGGGTCTTTCAACACAGTGATGCTTCAAGGTCCTGGAGGGTTATCTTGCTTGACAGACCTTTCGCGTTATGGGGCCAGATAGGTCTGTGCCTTACGAAGCGTGTCTACGTCCTTGGAGGCCCTGACTCTTATTTATCAATCAGTGACAGAGACGGAGAATCAGATACGGAGCCGCTGGAGCCTGGATCACCAGCAGGGAGGCGTGCGCCATGAGAGGTCGCCCCTCTCCTGCCCCTAAGCCCGCCGTGATTGTCAGCTTGAGCAGCGAGCTGGAGCCCCAGCGCGCCTACCCGACCCTGCTCCCTTAAATAGTATCCCGCCCTCCACTATTCAATTTTAGCTGAACTAAATTTGAGTTTCAGGGAAACAGTGAACAGGTTTTTAGGATAAGCCTGTCTCCAAGATTATGTACTTAGAGTGAAAGGTATCCGTTGTTTACCTGAAATTCAAGTTGACCGGCCCCCCCAGGTTTTCACTGGTGAAGTCTGGAGACCCTCAGTACCCGCCTCCAGGGCTTCTCTTTATAGAATTGGTATCTCCTCACGGATTATATATGAGGGGACGGGATCAAGAGCATGACTGGAGAACGGACAGTGAGGTGACACCATGTGCTATTTCTGAGAGAGAAAGCAGCCCTCGTCCAGGGCTGGGCAAGGCCAGGCGGGTTTCACAACGGACCCAAACACATCAGCAGGGACCAGAGCCCTTCAGAGACCAAGTGATGGCATTCTTCTATTAGGAACTGTCACGAGATCATTCTGCTTTTATAAAATGTGGTGTTCAAATGAGGTTTTCCATATTCTGGAAACAGAGATCTGTTTTTTTGTTTTTTTTTTTAAGTAGGCTCCATGCCCAGAGTGGGACCTAGTGCAGGGCTTGAACTCACCACCCCCTGAGCTCAAGACCTGAGGCGAGATCAAGAGTCCGATGCTCGACTGACTGAGCCACCCAAGAGCCCCAAGAACTAGTTTTTTTTTTTTTACAAGAATTTCTACCTCCACTTTGTTTCCAGTTTCTTGCTGTTTGAGCCACTTTTCATGGTGGACGCACCCGCCAGAGAAAACCTGTGCCTTCATAGGTGACACTTCCCAACACGGGTGTGTGGGCCTGTCACTCCAGGGGGATTCCAGGGGTGTCCTATCATTTAATTCAGTTCTGACACAACCACCTGGCGTGACTCACACCCCATGGGTAGGGGCTCTGTCCCCCGACTGCCCCACTTCAGACCCCCAATTCCAAGTCGTGGGTCCCAGGCACCCAGTTTTGTTCGATTTGACTACAAACTGGAGGTTCCCACGACCCCCGCCTGAGGTTTGATTAATTTGCTAGAACGACCCATAGAACTCTAGCTGGCTTACTGCCTTTTTTTTTTTTTTTAAAGATTTTATTTATTTGTCAGAGAGAGAGAGAGGGAGAGAGCACAAGTGGGAGGTGGGGGGTACAAGCAGACTCCTCACTGAGCAGGGAGCCTGATGCAGGAGTCGGTCCCAGGACCCTGGGATCGTGACTTGAGCCGAAGGCAGAGGCTTTACCAGCTGAGCCAAACAGATGCCCCTTTACTTTTTTTTTTTTTATATTATAAAGGGTTCAGAGGGACCCTCGAATGAAGTATATAGGAAGAGGCCCAGAAGGGTCTTCTGTCCCTGTTGAACTGGGGTGGGCCACCTCCCAGCATGTTGATATGTTTACTAACCAGAAGCATTCCGAACCCCATCTTTTGGGGTTTTTCTGGTGGTTCTGGTGGTACATCAGGTTGGTGTACCTGATGAACCGAGTGGTCATTGGTGATTAGCTCAGTCTCCAGCCCTCTCCCCACCTTGGATGTCAAGGGAGTGGGGCCGAAAAAGTCCCAGCTCTCGAATCATGGTCTTTCTGGGGGTATCGGCCCCCTCCTGGCCCTATGCCGGGGGCAGCCCTCAGGCATCTCATTAGCACCCAAAGACACTCTTATCGTTCCAGAAATTCCCGAAGTCTTACGGGCTCTCCTGTCAAGGGCTGGGGACCAAGACCCGGTATAACAAAGGATGCTCCTGTCACTGCGTCACCCCAGAGATGCGAGGGCAGAGACCGGTCTGTGCCTCTCTTACCGTGTCCCACTGTGACTCCACAGAGAATCTGAAAAAAACATAACTTTGTTCTTCTTGGCCTCTTTGAGTTTTTTTCTTTTTCTTTCTTGTCCTGAGTCCTCGCAATGCCGGTGGCATCAGAAATTGATAGAGTAATCACTACTTTGTTGGCCCATGACTGAGGTTTGCTCGACCCGTTGAGTCATTGCCTGGGTACCCAATCAATTCTCTCTTGCTTTGCAAATCCACAGTGACCGTGTTCTTCAGACTTGCTCCCCCATGTGGGTGTCCTCAAGGTTGGGGCCAGGATTCGTGATAGCCGCCTTGGTTTTAGAACTAGAACAGGGCTGGCCAATGCTTGGCTGCTCTCCGAACTAACACCTGAAATCTCTTTTATTGCAGATTCTTCTCCAAGCTCCAGTTTCTTAGCCGTAAGTATCTTAACAAACCTTTGAAGCTTAGTCTCAAAGAGACCTGGTGGTTAAGTTCAAAGCACTGGTTTTTATTTTATTTTTCAAATACTTTTCCTTTACATCTTCTCCACGCCCATCGTGGGGCTTGAACTCATGACCGTAAGATCAAGAGTTGCGTGTTCCTTCGGCTGAACCGGCCAGGGGTCCCCAAACTCTTCTTTCCAATGGTGTGTTTTCAGCAGCACTGTATTTGAGACAGCCAGAGTCCCTCGAGACATGGGTTGCAAGGCGTAGTTTAATTTTCTCAAGCGAGACTCTGGGCTGGGCCTGCTAAGGGCTGGAACCCAGGGCACGGGGCCCCAGAGCCCAGACCTGGGCCTGTCCTCCCAGAGATGCCACTGGGGGTTGGGGTGTGACTCCCCCGAGGGAGCGCGCTGCCTCAGGAATGTTCTGGAGGCCCCTGCTCGGTGTTCGCTTTGCAATAGCTAGTGTGTGGTGAGAAAAGCTCAGGCATCTAGAATGTTCCAGAGTCTCTGTACTACATGCCGGCACAGATGGGTGCCTTCTGACCAAGCCGGCCATGCTGTTGGAAGATGCATTTTCTTCCCCTTTTTCCCACACACCCCATCTCAGTCCTGCCTGGCACCCGACCTTCCCTGCTCTGCTTACTGCTTGTGTTTAAAACAGCTGGTTTACAGCTTCAGTGAGATGGAGTCAGTCCCCCCTTCCCCACGCACCTTTGCCCAGGGAGGAAGCCCTTCCCACATCTACCCACTGAAACACACACGTTAAATTCTTAACCTCCAGTCTCACTTTTTTTTTTTAAAGATTTTATTTATTTATTTGACAGAGAGAAAGATCACAGGTAGGCAGAGAGAGAGGGGGAAGCAGGCTTCCTGCTGAGCAGACAGCCCGATGCGGGGCTCGATCCCAAGAGCCTGAGATCATGACCTGAGCGGAAAGCAGAGGCTTAACCCACTGAGCCACCCAGGGGCCCCTCCAGTCTCACTTTTTAAATTTATTTTATTTTTAAAAAAATTAAAAAATATATTTTGTTTATTTGTTTGAGCAAGCATGAACAGGGGGCAGAGGGAGAAGCGGATTCCCCACTGAGCAGGGAGCCCAATGTAGGACTCAATTCCAAGACCCTGGGATCATGACCTGAGCTGAAGGCAGACGCTTAACATCTGAGCCCCCCAGGCACCCCCACTCTCATTTTTTGTAAAAGTTGAAGTTAGTTTATTTGCCTGTTTATTTATTTATTTCTAATCTCTATACCCATCCTGGGGCTTGAACTCATGGCCCCTGAGATCAGGAGTTGCCTGGTCTTCCAACTGGGCCAGCCCAGTGCCCCTCATTTTTTTTTTTTTTAATTAAATCCCAGAGAAAGAAATCTGGTCTGTAGTTTCTTATTCCCTGGCTGTATTGCTGGAATGTTCTTTTAGCTGTGATTTTTTATTTTCCTTCCTCCAGACCAAGGCTGTACGGTTGGGCCATGACACACAGTGGTGGGGAGGGCGGGATGGGGATCTTGTGCAGAGGGAGTCCGGGATTTAATTTTCACGCTGAGCTTCCGTTAGGGTTGTGTTCTGCTGCAGTAAAAGAAAACCCTCAAATAAGAGCAGGGAGTCCATTTCCGTTTCTATCTGAACAACTAATCATTTATTTCCAAGTCTCAAGATCATAGATGATGATGTAGCTTGTGACAAAAACAGACCCGTACCTCTCTGTCTCTGTGAAGTCCACAGCCTCCCAATATTTAAAATCCCAGCCCAAAGGGATAATCTTCAAACCTCGTCTGTTCAAAGCAGTGGTGCGCCAGGCCCGCGTCTCCATCTGCTGAGGTTCTGGAAGCCAACCCAACCCCATTGCTTCTTCAGTCATGAACGACATGGAAGGGGGAACTCTCGGTACTTTTTCCTCACAGATGGATCTCAATAAGACCGAGGAGGTGATCTCGAAACTGGAAAAGCTCCACCAGCAGCCCCACATCTGGAAGTTTCTACTTCTTCTGCCAAGATTGTACACAAACAACGTCCGCGTGGAAGACCGTCTCCGTGGCGGGGCACTCCTCCTGCAGGCGGCTTTGAAGTAAGTGCAAAAGAGAAATCTAACCCATGATAGGTGTGTTGGCTTTCTTCTCCTCGCTCTTTCATGGGGACATCCGTGTGTCTGGCTGATCTCTTGTTCCATTCCAGAAAGTGATTGGGAATCACGGCACCCTGAGATGGCTCTCCGTGTCCGTTCCTGGTCTACCGGTGCGGATATTTTATACAAGGGCAGTCATATGGTCCAGATTTTGGCAATTTAACATTTCATCATTAACTTTTCATACGTTCCCGTTGTCTTCAAGCGATCATTTTTATTATGATGATTGTTTTTAAAGATTTTCATTTTAAGTAACCTCTGCCCAACGTGGGGCTTGAACTCACAGTGCCGTGGGCAGGAGTCCCCTGCTCCCCCGACTGGGCCAGCCAGGCGCCCCTTCAAATGATCATTTTTAATGGTTGCTATTTGATTTTTGAGATTTTTCTTATTTACTTGAGAGAGAGCAAGAGTAAGTGAGAGAGAGAGAGAGAGAGAGAGAGAGATCGAGCATGAGTCAGGGGAGGGGCAGGGGCAGAGGAGAAGCAGGCTCCCCACCGAGCAGAGAGCCCAATGTGGGGCTCAATCCCAGGACCCTGAAACCATGACCTGAGCTGAAGGCAGAGGCTCCAAAGGCTGAGCCCCCCAGGTGCCCGAGTTCAGAAAATTCTAAATGTGAACATGACTTTCCTCGTTCTTATGAAGGCCTATCAGTCAACGGAGGACAATGGGGCATGTTTTGACCGTCTGTGGGTCTGATTGACAAGTCATATATTGGAATATAGTGGGTGCGTTTTCGCAGGTGCCCTTGTTCTCTGGGCCCTGAATGTGTTAGCGTGGGCGGTGACTGGGCCCTCCGGAGAGAGACGGAGTTTGAGATCAGAGCGCCTCGCTGACGCTTGCTGAACCATGTCAGCTCCGGTGTTCATCTTATTTCCGTATTCCGTTTCGGTGACACAAGGTCAGGAGAGTCCGCATGCAGTCACCCCTACTTCAACTAAATACACACACAAAAAACAGCTACCAACCTTTAAAAAAGAAGAAAATTGGCATTAGATTTAGAAATAAGTATTTGCAGCGTGCCTGGGTGGCTCAGTGGGTTAAGCCTCTGCCTTCAGCTCAGGTCATGATCTCAGGGTCCTGGGATCGAGCCCCGCATCGGGCTCTCTGCTCAGCAGGGAGCCTGCTTCTCCCTTTCCTTCTGCTGCTCCCCCGTTCGTGAGCTCGCTCTTTCTCTGTCAAATAAATAAGTAAAACCTTACAAAGAAGAAAGGATGTGGTATCGGGCAGACTGATCATTTATTAATGGTCTGTCTCGTCATCGCGGGATACCCTTCATCGCCCAGGGACACCGTGCGAGACGTTCCTGAAGGGGAAGCTGCAGGGAAGTATCCTGTCTGATGCACAGCTTATATGTTGCTGGTCTCTTGTTGCTAAGATTTAGACATATTCCTACTTCTTGTGAATGGATTTTCTAGTTTACAGGCTTATTATTTATAATTAGACTTAATACAGTTACTTATAAAATACAACGTTTAGGTATTTAAAGAATAACATGAACGCAGTATATATGTGGTCTCCCCAGAGCCCCTCGTTCTGTGAAACCGGTTGCTGACCCTTGATGGTGCCCCTGACATCCTGAGATGCATGGGTTCAGACAGTGGGGGGGTTGGGGTGCTTGCTATTCTAGGAGGGGACCTCCAGAGTTCAGACTGATGACCTGAGCTCGAAACAGTGAGGGTGTCTGACCACGTGCTTTTCAGAGGTGGTGACACCTTGCACCCCGGCTGGCCTTGCCGGCTGTCGGAAGCATCGGTCCCTAGTCCAGGGAGTCAGGGCCCATTTGAAGCCACGTTGAGAGCTGATAAGTCCATGGTCTGTCCACATCCTGCAAAGGGCTGGGACCTGGCTGCCGGGTCACCAGTAAGTCTGGGTCCGTTGCCCTCAGTCTGCAAAGCCCACTCACTTTACTTTGGTTTTCTTTTGGTTCCAGTTCCTTGACAGCTTTGGAAGATTTAGACTGGCGGCCCCTCAACCACACTTTCTCCACGGTTTCTGAAATCGTGCTGAACGTGACCATTTCGACGCTGACATTTCTGCAGGAGCACGGGATGGCTGCCGCTGGTATGTGTACCCGAGAACCCATTTGGGATTTCATGTGTTTCCCTGGTCATGTTCGTCAATAGCCACCGCAGAGCTCCAAAGCTGTTCAAAAAATGATTTAATCAAAATGTCAAATGCCAAAAGGAAACCATGGTTCCTGTTTCTAAAAGGTGGAAGTAGACTGAAAATTTGAAATTCAAACCTGAATTTGACTTTCTACTGTTATTGAAACTCTGTGGCCACTGCTCATAAATGGGTTATTTTTAATTAAAAAATGACTGATTTTAAAATTCTTTTATTGGATGTCCTTGAAGGTTAGACCTGTCATTGGTTCTGTGATTTGAATCTTTCCTCTCTCCTCTGCTCCTATTTGGAAAAAAAAAATATTTGAAAAATAGAAAGGCAGATAGATGTAGACTTGGAAAGCCCAAAGAGACAAACCCCGTTAATATGTTTTTTAGAGTTTTATTTATTTAAGTAATCTCTACACCCAACATGGGGCTTGAACTCATGACCCGGGATCAAGAGTCCCACATTCTTCCACTGAGCAAGCCAGGCACCTTTAAAATGACATTGGTTTAAAGTGCACAATGTGATGGTTTGAGACATGCATACGTTGTTGCAGTTGTTATCACAGTGGAGTTAATGAACCCATTTCTCTCCTCCCACAGTGAGTTACCTCCCCTTTGGTGAGAACACTGAAGACATCTTAGCAAATTTCAATTATATGATACAGTATTAGTAGCTGTAGTCACCATGCTGTATATTAGATCTCTAGAACTTATTTGCCTTATAACTAAGTTTGTACCCTTTGACCAGTATCTCCCACTTTCCCAACTCTCAGCTCCCCCTTAGCCACTCTTCTACTCTCTGTTCAGGGTATTATTTGTTCAATTGCCAACTGGACCTGAATGTTTTAATTCTCTCTTTCTTTTTCTCTATTTCTATCTCTTTCTGTAAGGGAAATTCAAGGGAACGGACAGTGGAGTTAGGATTCATACACTTATCTATCCATCATTCATCCACGTAATCATCCATCCACTATCCACTCACCCATCTGTCCGTCCGTCCATCCGTCCATCCATCCATCCATCCATCCATCCATCTCAATATCCATTGATTCGCCCATCCATCCACCTACCCACCCATCCATACATCCATCCATTCATCTATCTGCCCATACACCCACCCAGCCATCTATCTACATATCCATCTATCTATCCATTCATACACCCATATATCCATTCATTCATCAATCTGTCCACTTACTTACCCATCCACACACCCATCCATAATCTATCCATTCATCTATCCACCCACCCACCCACTCATCCATCCACACATCCACCCCCACCCATCCACCAATCCATCCATCCACTCCTTCAATAAACACGTGAACCAAACATTGTCTTATGAGAGGGAATAAGAAACGGAGTAATACCTGGTTCTTGCTCTCAGGGAAGTCCTGCTTAGTACAGGAGAGAGATGCTTCAATAAAGAAAAAACAAAGCCCACAGAGTAGGGATCTGGCCTCTTAGGAAAAGCGTTGAGGAGAGGTTCTGAAATATGAGTTCTATTTCATCAAAGACACAAGGGAGTGCTACCAGGAAGAACTGTGCATGAAGTTCCTGGCTTTGGCAAGAGCCACGTGTGTTTTATGCCCATTGTGTTTGGGGCAGTGGGCGATGGCAGGGGGTAATCCAGAAAGCGATCCTGAGCCAGATCACAGAAGAATGCTGGGGCAGCTTTTGGACCAGCATTATGGACAGACGTTCCTGGCACAGATGTGAGGGCTAGACTGGGGGGCAGGCAGGCAGACCTGGGGCCAGGAGCCCAGGATTATGTTCTCTGCCTGCTGCTACCTCTTGAAGTCTGTCTCCTGACCTATGTCAAGAGGTGGTTGTCCACAGATTTCTACCCCTTCCAGACTTTTCTGGTTCCTTGGAACAACCTGATGTGACACCCTCTATCCCCCCAGTCACACTCAGGTTCTTCTTGTTTCTGGTGACTTAGCATAGGGAGGAGTTCATCCTGGGAAGGAGAGCCCCTGTCCTCTGGGATCTACAAGAGGAAAGACTAGTCATTAATGTTGAATTTGCTTCTCCTCCGGGTGATTCCAGTGACCAGCAGTCCTTACCCTCAGAACGGAACCTCCCTGGTGACGTCTGTGGTGACAAGACTTATCAGGAAGCTCAAGTATTTGTACATGATCCAAATTACAACAATCTATTCACCTTATAACTGGAACTATAAGTACAGCTAAGAATGTCATTAAAATAAGCTATTTTTTCAGTTGCCAGGGAGTCAGAGCTGAGGAACATTATGACAAAGCACCTCAAGGCGACTAAAAATTATCCTCGTTTCTTTTGTGTCCAAGAAAAGTCCCTTTGGCTAATGAGCAGATCACGGTGTGGGAAGGGGAGAGATGTGCCCTGTCAGTGACTTGGGGTCAAGGGCCCAGGCACGTGCTTCACTGAACTTGTGAATTCCTGTGATCTGACTCTGCTGTTCAGCAGCGAGTATCAAGCCCTATGTTTCTCATTGCTCTAGAATGATGATGATGATGATTATTTAATTTAATTTAATTTTTTTCAGTGTTCCAAGATTCATTGTTTGATTTTTTAAAAAAGATTTTATTTGCTTGACAGAGAGAGGGACAGTGAGAGAGGGGACACAAGCAGGGGGAGCAGCAGATAGAGGAAGAAGGAGAGGCAGACTCCCTGCTGAGCAGGGAGCCCGATTTCGGGCTCGATCCCAGGACTCTGGGATCGTGACCTGAGATGAAGGCAGACGCTTAACGACTGAGCCACCCAGATGCCCCTAGAATGATTTTATAGTTTGATACCCCTCAGTGACTGGTGTCACTGTTTTCCCCTCCTTTCTGGAATTCTGTGCATAATCCTGATACGTTCTGAGAGCAGCAGAGTTTAACGGTTACCACGCAGGGTCAGGGCTCAGATCTGGGTTTGAGTCATGACTAAAGCCAGAGGCGTGACATCATATGACTCACAGTCTGCTTCCTTCTCCCCCAGAAGAGGGTAGTTATTACACCTACCTGGTGTGTTGTGGGGAACTCAGCAAGACCTGTCCAGGAAAAGTCCTAGCCTAGGGACTGCCTCTTTGACACACAATAAATGCCAGTTTAAAATCTCAGAACCAGGAGCCCTGGGGTGGCTCAGTCCGTTGAGTTTCCGACTCTTGGTTTTGGCTTAGGTGCTGATTTTGAGGTCTTGCAATCGAGCCCTATGCTGGGCTCTGCATTCAGTCGAGGTCCGCTTAGGATTCTCTATCCCTCTGCCCCTCCCCACACAGTAAATAAATAAATAAATAAATGTTAAAATTAAAATAAAACCATAGAACCAGACCTTGTCCCCTTTATGCATAGACAGCTAGACTAATAGCGAGGGGTTTCAGATTTCTGGGATCTGCCCCATCTTTGACGCCTTCTTAAAGTCCCCCATGGCTGGGCCTTTTGTAAGTGGCAGAACTATGTCCTTCCTGGAGAACCACAGTATTAATTTAGAGGTACTGAGAGAGGGCACCTGGGGAGCTCAGTCGATGAAGCACCTGCCTTTGGCTCAGGTCATGATCCCGGGGTCCTGGGATAGAGCCCCATGTTGGGCTTCCTGCTCGGTGAGGAGCCTGCTTCTCCTTCTCCCTCTGCCTGCTGCTCCCCCTGCTTATGTTTTCTCTGTCTCTCTCTCAAGTAAATAAATAAAAACTTAGAAAAAAATAAGGGTACCGAGAGGTCACGCAAGTGAGAATGGTTTTGTGGTCCTTTGCACGTGTGGACGCCTAGGAGAGGCTTGTGGTTCATGATCTGAACATTGTCTCACCACTGGGATTTCAGAGGAAGGCTCACCTTGGAATTTATAAGCTTTTAGGTTTGCAATCGCCAGGCCACGGTCACAGAAATTATGTCAAACCTCGGCGGAGGGGGGGTTTGGAATTATATTCTGCACATGCCATATCCAGGGAGTGTTGCTGGGTTCTTTGGGTCCCAATGAGTTTTATACTTTGATTAATTCTTTTAAGGGAACTTTTATCTGTGACCTTAAGTAGTTTTCAGGAATGCGGTTTTATTTTTATTTTTTGAAAAGTATTTTATTTTATTTATTTATTTGAGAGAGAGGTAGGGCAGGGGGAGGAGCAGAGGGAGCAGGACCAGCAAACTCTTTGCAGAGCACGGAGGTGACTCAGGGCTCGATCCCATGGCCCTGAGATCCTGACCTGAGCTGAAATCAAGGGCCAAACACTCCATTGACCGAGCAACCCAGGCACCCCAGAAATGTGGTTTTAAAGAGGGCAGTATTTTCTACTGTGAATTTACTGCCATTTATCCTCCCCCCCATGCTAGACTCTTCGCAGGTTTTAGTACTGACTCAGTGTAAGACCAGTGCCATGGCGTTGTGTTGTATGTTACTTCTTCTTCATGCATCTGGTTAGGCTTCTCGAGAAGGATTTTTTAGAAGTGTGATTGTTGGACTCAGTGATTGGAATTTCATAAAGCTCTTGAAATATGTTGTCATATTCCTTCTGGAAACTCTGTGGTCATGAATACGAGGGCTATGGGCCATCCTACCAAGCTGTGAGGCACCCGTGGTCGCTTCTGTTTGCTTCTCCGACCTGATTGCCTGGAGAGCATTCGGTCTCCACTTGCTTTTCCTGGTGGAGTGAACGAGGCGTCACTCTCTGAATCGTGCGTCGCACTGTTGTTGCCTTAACTGACTCACTATTGTCGCCTTAACTTAAACACATTACACATTATTGTCACTCCTTGGTTGCCTTGCAGGGTCCAGATACAACCTCTCCCTGCGGGAGCTGGTGTGGGACCCACAGAAGGTCCAGGCTGACCTCAAATCCCGATTTGGCTTCGATGACCTTCACGCAGAACAAATCCTGAATTACTCCGCGGAATTTCAGGAGGTACGCTCGCTTGAGGCTTCTCACACTGTGGGGTTTCCCCTCGAGAGTGTTCCTCTGAGGGTGCTCCCGGGGCGGGTGGGCGATGGGATGGGAGACGCAGCAGGACAGGGAGTCCTCCGCGAGCATCGGAGCTGCTTGGATCGGTCTAGCCCTTCTAGAAGTCTCCCTTCCTCTTACCTGGTCGTCGTATCCCAGCCCCAGAGGTGGTTTGGAAGTAACAGAATAATTAGTCATAGTCATTCTCTCTCTCAGCCCCTGCAAGGGGTCGGGACGGGAGCGAGGGGCAGGAGCTGGGGGGCTCACCAGATAGGAGCCTCCCTTTTCAAACTGTATAAACTAAAGGGGTTGGAAGAGCTAACCCCTGGAGACCCAGCTCTCCACTGCTACCCCTGAAGTTCTAGAAGGCTCTCTATCTGCGCCTTCCCTTTGTCACTCCCGTGTGTTTGCCGGCACTCCGGCTTTGCACAGGGCAGGGTCCGAAAACCGTTCACCTGTCTCCGTTGGCTGCATGGATCCCTCCAGGATGAGGGCCTTGCTGGTCGGGGTCGAGGGGCTGGACGTTTGGACAAGACCTGCACTCTTTGGCTTGGGTCTTGTTCTGTGCTCAGGGCGTGGGTTTTGCTCACTTCTCCGAGGTCTACCACCTGGCACTTCCCGGCTGGCACTTCTCACATTCTCACAGCCACTATGTGCGTGTGGACAGTTGCTCTTCACTTCTGGGTTACCGATCGGTGCCGTGAGTCTGGGGGTCAGCCACTGGCCTCTGCCGGATGCTGCTGCTAACAGCTGTGTGTCTGGAAAATTCCTTCTGCCGGTGGGTCTCAGGCCTGGCCAGGATGGGTGGGTTCCTGGGCTCCTCCTGCACCTGGCCCCAGTTCATTAACCGCTGACCTCCCGTGGGATTTGGAATTGGGCCCCGTGGCATCTGTCGTGGGCATGGGGGAAAGCCAGGGGGCTGATGCTACTCTGCTTTCTTTAGACTCAGGACCCTGCTTTCTCATTATTTTAGAATATAGTTTGCGTCACATTACACAGAACCTTTACTTTAGAATGGTAAGTATTTCAAGATTAGAATTCCAGGGAGGCCTGGGTGGCTCAGTGGGTTAAACGTCTGCCTTCGGCTCAGGTCATGATCCCAGGGTCCTGGGATCAAGTCCCACATCAGACTCCCTGCTCAGTGGGGAGCTTGATTCTCCCTTTCCCTCTGCTGCTCGCCCTGCTTCTGCACATGCTCTGTCTCTAGCTCCCTCTGTCAAATACATAAATAAAATCTTAAAAAAGTTTAGAATTACAAGGGCTATGGTCGGGAAGGGCACAGAGCATATGTCACAGGTCTGAGGCTCCCCTGGCTGCTAGGACACGTTTCTGCCAGCCTGGTGGTCCCACATAACACACAGTTACCACAGCACAGCTCTGGAAGTCGGACGTCCCAAACAGGTGTCCAGGGGCTCAAATCAGGGTGTCTATGTTCCTCTGTAGGCTCCAGGGAGTGTGCTCTCCTTCCCTTCTTAGCTTCTAGAAGCCGCTGCATGCCGTGGCTCCAGGCCCCTCTCCCCTCAGGGCAGTGGTGATGGGGTGTTTTCTCATAAGGCGTTTGCCTTCCCCTTCCACGTGTAAGGAGCCCTGTGATTTCAGTGAGCTCAGTTCATATTCCAGGGTGGTCTCCCCCTCTCAGAGTCTGCAGGTCAGCAACCATAGTTTCACCTGCTGAGGGAAAACCTACTCATAGGCTCTGGGGATTCGGAGGTGAGCACCTCGGGGCACCATCACCCTGCCCCCCACCCGCATGAGGCCCCTCGCCATTCAGCATTCGCAGAGCCTCCCAGGGCCTCCCCTGGTTCCATCTGACTGTGGGCACTGCCACTCTGGGCCTTTGCATGTGCTGCCCCTGGAAGAGAGGAATCTCTCCCACTTCCATTCTCCACTGCCCACCGAGAAGACAGATACATCATGGCTCATGTCCCCGTGGGACCCCCATGTCCTCCCTCCCCCATGACCCATCATGAGGCCATTGTAGGGAACCTGACCGAGCCGTGTCCATGTCTCAGAGACCATGTGAGTCCTGTGGGAAGGGACGGGGCCATGTTTCTCTCACGGGATACCATGGCTTTGTGATAGTCACCAGTGAGTGTCAGTTCTCTGCGTCCCGAAGGAAGCTTCCAGGGAGGATGTGGGGCATTAATGCCTTTTGGCTGTCGCCATCCGTAGAGGTTCTGGAACGTGGTGCGCAGTTACTGTAAATCCACGTAACGGGAACGTGGCTTGTTCCCATGCACATGGAAGTGGTTTTACGGAGCTACAGGAGAAGAACTGTGTGTAGAAGTTCATGTACTGAGATAAGGGAGATTTGGGTCCAAAATGTCAAACCGTTTCTGACCCACAAGTCCAGTGTGACTTGTCCCGGCTTTGTCCGCCTTTGGTAACTGGAAGAGAAAATGTTTCTGGCAAAGCTGCTTTGGGGGTGCCCGGTGCCAGGTGAACGCGGCTGGCCCGCTGTCTGCTTTCGGCCAGAGAGTGAAAAAGCCGTATTTGATTCATCCTGTGTCCTCGACCCGGAGAAACTGCTGTTTCCACTGTTGTGGACGATCCTGAAATAAGTCATTCCAGAAGGCGTCCCTCCACCGACCACACAAGTGACCCTTTATCAGCCTGTTCCTTCTCCCATCAAGCAAAGCCCTGAGCTCTTCCTTTGCCAAGGTTGTGGTATTCTCAGAAGGGAACATTCTGGAAAAAAGCAGACTTGGAACGATGTTCCCTTTCGTTGGCAGATTCCCACAAAGGCGGCTTTGGAGCGGATGGTATGTTCTGTCTTGTCCTGGACTTCCAAGGGCGAAGCTGTCACAGAGGGTCACCCCGCAGACTGTCCCCCGCGCTGGTCTGAGGCCACAGACTACCTGGTGCACGCGGTCAGCGGGCCGCGAGCGTCCAAGCAGGTGCCGTCCGCAGAGACCCGCTCAGTGTGTCCGCACCCATCTCTTTCCTCTCCGTCTCTCAGACTCTGATTTTATTGATTTTTATGGCATTTGATTTCTTTTTGGGAATGCAGGTAACACAGGGCGTAAGTGTGCTTCGTGGTATTGGACGAGGGTTCTGTGCAGCTACAAAGCTGAGAACCCGTTCCCTTTCCCTGCACTCTGTTCTCTGTTCCCTTGCTGTCCTTTCCAGGGACGAGTCCCAGGAGCCCCACGTCCTGCCCACTAAGTGCCCTTCTCCTGCGTGTGTCTGCCGGCCTCCACTCATTGGGGCCTCACCGCACATGTCCCCAGAAAGCCTGTCTTACACTGAGATGCACACGTGGCCCTGACAAGAGCCGTAGTGTGTTTTTGGCATGTGGGGTTTCCACAGGGCTCCTTGGATGACCACCAAGGATGACCACCTTGGGGTGGGTGGGTCTAGCCCCCTGGAGCTCTTGAGGTGAGGGGCGCCACTCAGCCTGTCCTTTCACTCTGGCTTTGATGAGAAGCATCGTACTTGAACCATAACCAATTTAAGGGAAACTGAGAAAGGTGCTGTGACCCGCTTTCATGGGTGAGTGGGGAGCCCGACACGGGGCCTGACCTCACAACCCCGAGATCACGACGTGAACCAAAACCAAGAGTCGGATGCTCCACCGACCGAGCCCCCCAGGTGCCCCCGCCTTCTCTTTTGCAAGTGGCACTGGGGCAAAGGGAAGAGAAAAGGGAGCCCAGTGGAAACGCTGTGTGCAGCTGTTGATGCCATTTCTAATCTTTAGTTTCTGAATAGAAATTAAATCCTATGGCACGTGACAGACCTTTCAATCTGGCAACATCATAAACACGGGCCACCCGTCCTCTAGAAGACTCCGTTACTGTATCCCACGCACACGCTCTCCTGTCTACTGGTTACGGTTCATAACACTGTTTCCGTTTCTACGCGTGCAGGTGCTCCCTGGTGTTCTCCAGCAGGTGCTCGCCGGGGCCGCCCGCAGCCTGGAGGCTCTCCGAGGTCCGACTGTGGAGGGGCGGGAGCCACAGCAGGTGGTGAAGGTTCTGCAGGCTCTGCTTCCCCTCCTGAGTGACAGCTTGGTGGCAGATGGCCCCGCCGGCAGCCACCCATCTCCCAAGATGTAAGGCGTGCTTTCCTGTTTAATGACTGGTTAGACTCGGGAGCCTGAATGTTAAGGACGCGTGATGAGACAGCGAGAGGAGAATTCATAGGACCACGGCTAGACAGTGGCTTCCTAGTCAGTAGCCGGGAGATGACTCCAGGCTGGTGTCGTGGGGACCGTCCCGAATCGTTTGCCCCAAACTGATGTCTGTATTTTTTTTTTTCTAAGATTTTACCCATTTATTTGTCAGAGAGAGAGAGAGAGAGAGAATGAGAGCAGGAGCACGAGCAGGGGGAGAAGCAGGCTCCCCGCCGAGCAGGGAGCCTGATGCAGGACTCGATCCCAGGACCCTGAGATCATGACCGGAGCCAAGGGCAGACACTTAACCCACGGGAACACCCCCCACCCCACCCCAGGCATCCCCCTACGTCTGTTCAGATGAGGGCAACAACCCGGTGGGGGAGCATATCCAAGAAGGAGGTCAGCCTTCTGGATTCAGATCTAAAACGAACGAAAGCATCGTAGAGGCGCTTGCATGGAAGGAACAGTTTTCACGGTTGTTTTGAAGTTTTGCACCATTGAATTGTTTGTAGAAGGTCTGGAAACACTTCAGAAATGGGGAAAAGTAGACCCTCTTTATTTTTGAGATAAGCCGAACGGATTCCCGAAGGGCGGTTCTGTTGCAGTATTGGGCCGTCTTCTTTAGTGGGTCCTGCCCTTGGCAGGAACTTGGCCCCATTACATGCCTCAGGTGTAGGCTCTCCTTGGAAGCGAGCAGAGAATGTCTCAGTATTGTCTCTGAAGGGGCCATTTCAAGCCACGGGCCTCGGACCGCCTGCTGTTACACAGCACAAGGGAGAATTGCATCGTTAGAATCGCACGGGGTCGGGGCGTGTTCTCAGGGCACACATGATGTACATACAGGTGTGTACATAACTGGACAGATTTCCAACTCCGTCGAGTTTTCTGGAACCTGGTGAGGAAGGAGGATCTTGCTTTTGAAGGTCTAGTTTTCTGTTTTATCTTAGAGATCTCCCGGGTGCTAGCGATAGAGTAGGTCACCTCTCTGACCTTACAAACCTCCCATGCCCCTGCCACTTCTGCCCGGGCGACAGAGAGTCCCGGGGCACTCTGGCTTTCAGCTCCTCCTGGGAGCGGGGATGTGTGAGACCCCCTTGGAGGACCAGGTGTGGCTGGCCCAGGCTTCTCTTTCCACCCACACTCAGGACGGGAAGGTGGGGGGTCTTCCCGCAGCTACTGTGTGTGCCGGGCCAGCCGTGGGGCCCTGCAGCTTCCCTTTCTCCCCACACCCACCTCTGTTCGGGGATATAGGTGGCCTTCGCTTGGCCGTCTGGCTAACAAGCAAGTCTGTGGCCCGTGCACTTCTGGTCCCTGGGTTTCCACCTCCCCATGCTGATGGCATTTCTTGGTTTTCTTGGTGGCCCCCGAGTCCCTTACCAGTTAGGAAGCCCTTGGTCTGCTGCTGGCTCCATGAAGGACACGCCCCCCCCAGTGGCCTTGTGTCTTCCCCTCTAAGGAAGGAAGGACGCACCCCCTCCCTTGTTATGGCCAGCAGGGAGACCCCGGGGTTGAGGACACCCCACACTTAGTGGCGGCTCACAAGTGCTACCCAGTCCCTCACGACTCCCACGTCTCACAACTCCCATGTCTCACGCCTCCCATGGCATCCGCCTCTCTCTCCTCAACTCACCCCCCCGGCCCTCCATCCTGCTTTTCACAGGCTCACCGATTTTCCTCCTCCGATGTCCCCTCACACAGACCTTCCCGATCCAGTCTTGTCTTGTGAATCCCGTGTTTTCGCAGTGGCTTGTTTTCTGCATTCAGTGTGGGGATAGCCATGGCTCAGGTCCCAGCGCTGTCCTCTGTGCTGACACCTGCTCCGGCCCCTGGGCTCGCGTCCCCTCCTGGCATCCCTCAGTGTGTCCCACTTAGCGCTCGCTGTCATCATGATTTTAGACATCGCCTGCCCGTCCTGAAGTTAGCCCTCGTTTGCCCGCGGCGCCCCCGGATCTTCGTACCATCTACACTGCCCTTGGTGGGAAACTGTTGGCCAGAGCACCACAGCTCATTACTTCTACCCTATTCTCGCCAATTGCTCACACCTTCTTTCTTCCAAGTCCCAACTTCCAACCGGAAGACCCACCAAGCCTTCCTTTGGGACCAAGGACACACGTCATTAGAGGCAGGGGGTGCTTGTGGTGCGCCTGTTCCTGCCTGGACCTCCCACACCGGGGTGATGAGATGCGGGAGAGGTGGGCCAGTATGGGCACGGGGCCAGGCAGGGCCAGGTGCCACCTGTCGCTGGACCCCCTAGCAGCGTCTCCTGGGTCTCTCCTTCCAGCTCAATTTCTCTTCCTGGGCAGGAGATTCCCTGTGCTTGCAGGGATGCCCGAGGGTCTGCCTTCTCCCTCTGGGGCACTTGCTCCCACAGTGTGACCCCCACCTGGTTCTTCACTTGATCATTCTGTTCCAGTTTCAGCTTCTCTCACTGCAGAGTCCCTGTCTTTCCAGCTGCTCGTCTGGGTTGCTCCCTCCCTCTTCCTGAGTCGGGCACTCTCTTGGGGCAACAGAGAGCCTCTGGGGTGGGGGGGAGCTTCGGCTGTCTGGGACAGCTGGACGAGTGTCCCCCACTCCCCCAGCCCTGTGACTGCCTGCCTTCCCGGGGAGCATGGTCTCTGCAGCTGTCAGCTGGGGAGCCCCTGCGCCAGGGGCCTCTGTTTCCCTCCACTCCCCACCCAGGGGCTGCAGGTGTCCAGCTGTCCGGCTGGGAGTCCTTCTCGGCCCTGGGAGACTCTTATAGCTGCTGCTAATTCACCTTCGATGGGTCCCGCGCCCACCGCGCAGAGCGCGGCATTCTGACACTCTTCTTAAGCTAGTTTCCTGTGCTCTCAGAGTGCTGTGTCTGCAGCAATTGGAGAATGTCCTTCGAGACCTGCCCCCGTGGCCCGCCCTGAAGAGACTGCTTCTGCTCCTCGGGGTGCTCAGGAACGCCGTAGCCCAGAATTTGCGTTTTGTCCAAGGTAAACCGGCTGGGTCTTACTTGTCGCCGGGTCGCTAGGAGCCCACATGAGACTGATTGAAAAGCAGACTTGAAACTGCCTGATGCCTTTGTTGGGCTCAGACACAGCTGTCACGATGTGGTTTATGCTCTGCCGGGTGGCTGGGGGGCGGGGCCAGGGCTTCTCCCCTCTCCGTGGTGGAGAGAGAAGAAAGGAGGACGGATGTCGCTTTTGGAGTGAAGCTCTCCTCTCCCCGCGATGCCGTCCTCACGTGCCTTGAGGACATATGAAACGACAGTGCAATGAATTTTGTTGTCCTCTCTCAGGGAGATCATAAAATGTCTGATAACAGGGGCAGTTTGCCGAGCTGCCGGTTTTCTGAATTCCCTGTGCTCGTCGCGGCCTCGTGGAGAAGCCGGGTGGGGAGTAGTGTGCTTTAGGGGAAATAGTCATGCGTCCGTTTGTCGACCTTACAGCAGTGCTCACGTGCTCGGAGAGACCGGCTAACAGCTCCACACTGGGCGGACCCGAGCAATTGCACCCAGAGAGGGACGCGTGGAAGCAGGTAAAGCACAGCACAGGGTTCCAAACCAACGAGTTTGAGAAAACGTTCAAGCAGCTCATGCTCTCTTCTGTTTTGCTCCTGCTGTGAGCTGTGCTGGCAAAATGTGCCAGCAAAGAGGACAATTTTCGAAGAGCTTTGTCTCATTTTGGAACTCGGACGGCTGCTGGTGTCTGGTTGTTGCTCTCCAGCCCTTGGGGGGCGAGCACAAGCCTCTCTGAGTCACCCCTCCTGCTCCTCTTTGTCTCTCAGGTCTTGGTGAAGAAGGCTATGGACAGGTGCCTAAATGCCAGCTTGTCTGGGAAGGAGGCTCTCCGGTGTCGTGGGAACCCTGGTGCCTGCGAGCGCCTCCGGGCACTGGCGTGTCCCCATGACACCACCAAGAGCAGCGTTTTCAACGAGCTACTACAGTCAGCGGAGGACTCAGTAAGTAGCCGTCTTCTGATCTCGCCCGCTGATGGCAGTGGGCTGATTTTGCAGGTTAGACACCGCCCCCCCGCCATGGAAATCCAGCCACCCCTGCTCCATCCCTCCTCTGGCCCCACTCGGAGGCTGCCCATTGCCCATCCGGCCTAAATCTCCTTGACAGCTGTTTTCCCCAAGAGCACCCCGAACTCTCAGATCGCACCTCCCCGCCCCCCTGGTTTCTGGGCCCCCCGTCCGCTCCACCCCTGGCCGCAGACGTCGAGAGGCCGGAAGCGTATCTTCGGGCATCGGCTAGCCCTGCTTCTCCGTGTCCCTGCCCCTTGCTGAGAGCTTGAGAGAGTGGGGAGCCATTTGTTAGTACAATTCATGATGTCCCCTTCGACCCATATTTTTCTCACCGAGCACTACAAGTGATAGTACCATTCCCCTTTCTGCTGTTCATTTTTTTCCTCTGTATGGCGTGTTTCATTTCTTATTTTCTCATGCTGCCTGGTAGGGTTGGGCTGGAAGGGGCACCTGTGCTTCTGGTGTGTGTGTGTGTGTGTGTGTGTGTGCGTGTGTTTTGGTTGGAGGATGCGGGCTATTAATCGTGGAACAGAATCACAGGAGCGTGACTCCGAGGAGGCTGGGTCCCGTGGGGCGACTGGGGGACTAGCCAGCAGAGAGGGGCTTCACACCTGTGTCCCTTCAGACACAGCCTTGATTTGGGGGTAAAGAGGCAAGTCCAGGACAGTCCCTCAGGTTACAAAAGCAGGTCCGCAGGGCATGGTCTTGGAGTCACCGTTCAAGAGAGCACTTGGTATGGGAGACGGAACACGGGCTGCTTCCCGGGGCCACCCTGTCCTTGCAAACAACGTGCTCTTCTCCTGTCAAGGATCGCCTTTTGCAAGAAGTTGTCACTGGGCGGACAGATGTGCCAGATTCAGGATCCGAAGGACTTCTGGGCTGGCAGGAAGTGGAAGCGCAGCTGGAGGACCTGGGCCTTTCCTGCAGGCGGCTCTCCCGGTGGCTGGCAGCGGCCGCCTCACCCGGGGACCGCGACCTTGCCGGTGGCTGTAAGGACCAGCTTGCTGCAGCAGTGTGAGTCTGTGTGCGATGCGGAACTGGTGAACAGTTGGGAACCATCTACCGAAACATGGATCCACATTGTATATCCTATTTCTAGTATATTCTGTTTCTGGTATATTCCATTTCTGGGGGGAGGCATAATTTTTCTTTTTCTTTTTTTTTTAAATTTTTTATTTATTTTCAGCGTAACAGTATTCATTGTTTATGCATCACACTCAGTGCTCCATGCAGTCCGTGCCCTCTCCAATACCCACCACCTGGCTCCCCCAACCTCCCACCCCTGCCCCTTCAAAACCCTCAGGTTGTTTTTCAGAGTCCACAGTCTCTCATGGTTCACCTCCCCTTCCAATTTCCCTCAAACCCCCTTCTCCTCTCCATCTCCCCTTGTCTTCCATGCTGTTTGTTATGCTCCACAAGTAAGTGAAACCATATGATAATTGACTCTCTCTGCTTGACTTATTTCACTCAGCATAATCTCTTCCAGTCCCGTCCATGTTGCTACAAAAGTTGGGTATTCATCCTTTCTGATGGAGGCATAATTTTTCTTTTAATCCTTAAAAAAAGACTGACCTATTTGGTACTATTGTTAAAAATGCAAAATATTAGGGGTAGATAAATAATCTCAGGTAGATAAATAAAATCTTAAAAAAATAAGTAAAAATATAAGATTTTTTTAAAAGATTTTATTTATTTGACAGAGAGAGAGAGATCACAAGTAGAGAAAGAGAGAGAGAGAGAGGAGGAGGCAGGCTCCCTGCCTAGCAGAGAGCCTGATGTGGGACTTGATCCCAGAACCCTGAGATCAGGACCTGAGCTGAAGGCAGAGGCTTAACCCACTGAGCCACCCAGGCAGCCCCAAAATATAAGATATTAAACAAACCCTTTAAAGGTTTACCATTGACTTAACCTTCTGCAACATTCTTGGCCGCAAAGTTATATTAAGTTATATTAAGTCCTGTTTTCCTCTTTCTGTTCTCTTGACTTGCTGTGTCTCCTGTTTCATGTATTCCCACGCGTCACTTTCCCTCTTTCTTCAAACGGGGTGGGGGGATCTGTAAGCAATCAAATACCCGTAAGGAGACTATCGAGAAGGTTCTTATTTCTGACACAGGCGACTGCCAGATGCCTGTGTCTGTTGGCCTGTAGATGAATTTGTCCTGTTCTGGAAAACCGCGACCAAAGGCGAGCTTTCTCTGGGTTCTCCGATTGCAGGATCTTTCGCACACTAGGAACAGTTCAGTCGTCCCTGGAGGAAACACCCGACTGGAAAGGCTTCACAGGATTTATCCGGAAGACTTGTGAACTGGTCCGTTCTGCGAACGTGCAAGGAAGCGTCCAGAACGGTCTGTCTGGTAGGTCAGCCGTCTTCGCTGTGGGAACCTGGGCGCTGCTCCCCTTTCCGCACGTTGCTGCTGAGAGACGCCCTCTTTATGAAGGGTGCCGGAGGGACGTGTGCCGGGGGAGAGGCTAGCCGAGGATTTGCCCCTGGGACGCCCACAGTTCATTGTCGCTGTGCGTTACGGTGAGACTGACCGGGGCCCTGGCGTGACTGGTTGTCACAGCTGTTTCTACCAGTGACCTCTTTTCCTCTCGACCTGTCCTGGTTTGGCTGATAAACATGGACAGGGGTGGACCAGGCATGACGGACCCCGCAAAGTCCAGAGCTGCTGCCTGTGGGGCCTCGTCACTCCCGTGCTGTTAGACTCACCCCGCCACCCCCATGTTGAGCCCGCTCCCCTCTTCCCGTGAAATCTTCAAAACCAAAATCCCCTCAAATATAAATTGTACAAATTCGCAACAGCCTGACCCCCAGGCAGTCATTCCCTCGTCCCAAAGGCCCTCTTTCTGAGAAGACGCTGGCAGGGGGACCGGTGTTTCTGACTCATCCCAGGGGAGAGCTGGTGGTCTGAGTCTGGCTGTCCCTGGGGACCACGATCGCTCTGGCTGTGCCGTGTGTGCTCCAGCCCCGGAGCACCTCTGCTTCGACTCGGGGTTCCTGCTCTGTGGCCACGGCCACCAAATCTCACTCCCTTCCTTCCTCCTCAAACTGCTGGGGTTTTCATTTTTGTTTATTAGTTTTTATTTAAGTTCCAAATAGTTAGCATATGGTGTATTATTAGTCTCGGGTGTACAATACAGGGATCCAGGACTTCCCTGCGTCACCCGGTGCTCGTCCCGGCAGGTGCCCTCCTTCCTCCCATCACCTGCTTCCCCATCCCCCCAGGCTCCCCACCCCCCTCCGCCACCCGCCGCGACCAGCAGCGTGTTCCCTGCAATGAAGAGTCTGTTTCTTCGTTTCTCTCTCTCTTTCCCCCCTTTGCTCAGTAGTTTTGTTTCTTAAATTCCACGTATGACTGAAAGCATATGGTATTTGTCTTTCTCCGGCTGACGTGTTTCGATGAGCGTAATGTGCTCTAGCCCCATCCGTGTTGGTGCGAATCTCATCCTGTGGCAGGATCTCATTCTTTTTGACGGTGGAGTGATACTCCCTTGTGCATGTGAAGCACGTCTTCATCCATTCATCTGTCCATGGACACTTGGGCTGCTTCCATGGTTTGGCTCTGGTTGACAACGCTGCTGTAAACCCCAGGGTACCTGGGTCCCTTTGAGTCTGTACTTTTGTACCGTTTGGGCAAATACCTCATAGTGCAATTGCTGGATGGTAGTGTAGTTCCATTTTTAACCTTTCCAGGACTCTCCATACTCCAACCACTGCTTTTAGAGGCTGCCAGAGAAACCCTTCTCCGTGGCGGTCAAACCCACGAGCGGCCCGTTGGGCCTCTGCCTCAGCTGCAGATGGGCCACACTGAGCTCTGCCCTTGGTGACAGTGCTGGGTTGTCGGCCGTGCCTCCTTGGTTGCGTGTTCCTCCAGTGCTAGAGCTTGGCTGGATCCTGACCATTTCCAGAAACACAGGCAACAAGAGTGACATTCAGCATCCGTGAGAAGGTCTCAATAACATTGACAATCACAACATTTGTTGTGTTTTGTGTGAATTATTTCATCCAGTCCCCTTGTCAACCCTTGAGCTGGGTTCCATTTTGACTCCATTTTCAGATGGGAATACTGAGGCTCGTGGAGATTAAATTCTGATACAGACCACCGAGCTCCAAGTGTCAAAGCCGAGACACCGTTGTAGGACGTTTCTCCCCGGAGCCTGTGAACTTCCCTTCTGTCTGGACGATCCTCACTGGGCACATCACGCTGCCTCAAGGCTTGCTCCGTTATGGAAATAGAGCTTGTCCGAGAACGGAGTTTTCTTTATTCTCTGTTCTGTGCATTTGTGTCCTCTTTCATAGATTTTCTAATTTGTTTCCTGTTTCATGAATTTCCTTTTTTAATTTGTATTATTTCCTCCCTTCCTTCTACTAAGTTCAGTTTGATGTTCTTTTCCCAACTTTTTGATTTTCAGATTTTCTTCTTTTCTTTTCTTTTTTTTTTTTTTAAGTATTTTATTTATTTATTTGACAGAGAGAGAGAGCACAAGCAGGGGGAGTGGGCAGAGGGAGAAGCAGACACCCCTGAGCAGGGAGCAGGGAGTCTGACACGGGGCTTGATCCCAGGATCCTGGGATCATGACCTGAACTGAAGGCAGATGCTTAATGACTGAGCCACTCAGGTGCCCCGATTTTCTTCTTTTCTAATAGATACGTTTAAAGCTATAATATTTATTCTATGCAGAACTCTAGTATAGAGCACACAGTTTGATAGGTCACAGTCTTCATTAACATTTTGTTCAAAATTTCCTGATATTTATTATGATTTCAGGATATTGTTTAATTTTCACTGACATTTGGGGACTTTGAAAGTGATTTAAAAAAAAAACTCTGAATTTCTCACCTATTTTTAATGAGAGAACATTCTCAATGGTCAGTCTTTGGAATTTGTTGAGATGTGTTTTTGGCGCACATGGTCCATTTTGGTAAATGTGTGAGTTCTTCAAAACCATGTCACTTCTGTCCTTGTTGGGTGAGGTAATTATGTATATTAAGTAGGTCAAGTTTGGTAATCATCCACATTTTACCTATTTCTCAACTGCCTCTTTATTTTTTAAAATTAATTAATTTTTTTCATTGTTATACTTTATTAAATGAAAAGGATACAAGTTATCCTGATTAGCCCAGGGGAGAGGCACCTGGGGCAGAATCCAGGGGATTTCCAGCACCAATCTCTAGTTCTCTCTCTTAGAGGAGCTGTATCCAGCAGGAGCTCTTCCCAGCGGTGACAGGTCATGGTACACATGGAGTATTGTCAACCAGGGAGGCTCACACGGGCCCTGCTGTCCAGGGATTTCGCTGGGGTTTGGCGATATAGATGTGGTTGGACACCTTTGTGTCTGACCTTAGTTTCCAGCCCCTCTGGAAATCAGGCTGATAGCAGGTGGCCCAAAGGCCCCACCGTAAATCACACTGGTAAGCAATCTGGTGACGCCCGAAGCCTCCACGTGACAAAGACATGCTTGTGACAGGAAATTCCAAGGACTTAGAGATCACTTCCCAAGAGCTGAGGACAAAGCCCACACCTCTCCTTGACCAAGCTTAATTCTTCACTTAACAGTGTATTTTGTAGAAATAAGAATATTCTCTTACATATTCTCAGGGCATAATACATTTAGCCAACTTCCTTTTTTTTTTTTTTTTTTAAGATTTTACTGGAGCACTGGGTGTTGTACATAAACAATGAATCTGGGAACATTGCATCAAAAACTAATGTTGTATTTTATGGTGACTAACATAACACAATAAATAAAGAAATAAATAGTGTGTGAAAGCACAATAAAATAAAATAAAATCTTATTTGCCTCTTTAATCAGCTGCTGACATAGATGAGTTGAAATTTCCCAGTGAAGCGGTAGATTTGTCCATTTCCTTTTTAGCTTTACCAGCTTTGTTATATGTCATTTAAGTTACATTATTAGATACAAACAGTTCAGAACTGATGCATATTTTTATTGCATGAGCTCTTTTATCCTTAGGAAATGAAACTTCATTTTTCTCTAGCATTGTCTTTGCCTTAAAAATATACATCATTGAGGGGCACCTGGGTGGCTCAGTCAGTTAAGCATCTGCTTACAGCTTAGGCCATGTCTTAGGGTCTTGGGATCTAGCCCCATGTCAGGCTCCCTGTTCAGTGGGGAGTCTGTTTGCCCTCTCCCTCACTTGTGCTCTTTCTGTGTCTCTCTCAAATAAATATGTAAAATCATAAACACACACACACACACACACACACACACACATCATGGAGGTCCTCACATTTTTAAAAGATTTTATTTATTTAAGAGAAAGAGAGAGAACACATGCACAAGTCGGTGGGGAGGGGTAGAGGAAGGAGAAGCAGGTTCCCTACTGAGCAAACAACCTGATGCGGGGCTTGATCCAGGACCCTGAGATCATGACCCAAGCTGAAGGCAGACATTTAACTGACTGAGTCACCCAGGCATCCCTGATGTCAATATTAATGTTAGTATTAGCTATAGTCTGGATGCTACCATGGTTAAGTTTACTCCTAAGCATTTTATAATTTTTTATTATAAATGGAACTGTTTCCTTAATTTCCTTTCCTTTTCTTCCTTTTTTTTTTTAAATTAATTTTTAAGTAATCCCTAAACCTAATGTGGGGCTTCAGCTCAAAATCCGGAGATGAAGAGTCACATACTCTGCTGAGTGGGTCAGGCGCCCCTTAATTTCCTTCTCATGTTATTCATTGTTAATAACGAAAAATGCAACTGATTTCTATGTATTGATTATGAATCCTACAGCTTTGCTGAATTTGTTTATTAGTTCTAAAAGTTTTTTGGTGGAATATTTCGTTTTCTATGTGTAAGATAATGTCATTTGCAAACAAGGATAATTTTCTTTTTCTTTTCTTATTTCCTTTCTTATTTTCAATTTATTTTTCTTCTCTTATTGCTATAGCTAGGACTTTTAGTACTGTGTTGAATAGAAGTGGCAAAAGTGGCCTCTCTCTCTCTCCTTTTTTTTCTTTTCTTTTCTTTTTTTCTTCCTTTTTTCCGTTATGGTATAGCCTGGATAGTTATCTCTGACTTATTTTGCAGTTCATTACTTCTTGCTTAAGAACACATTTAATAGTACTCTTAGGCTTATTCATTGCTTTCTCAATTTTAGTTATTATAATAATTTCTAGGGCTTCAGTTTATTCTTTTTATTAAAGTCTGTGCCTGGTAACTCCAATAGTTTGATCTCTTGAGTGTCTGTTTCTATTGTATGATTTTCTTCTTTATTTCACTTATGTTCTATATGTACTTGTTTTTGACTCTATTCCAGACATTACATAATAAAAATTACAGAGACAATTTGATACCCTGGGTGTTTTCCGTCCTTCAGATAGGCTTT